AAGTAGAAACCCCTGTAGATGATTGGGCTTAGCTCGAGCTCTCTCCGTTGTTAGCATGCAGAGATTCTGATTGGTGTGTCATCAGTTTTGCTACCTAATGTTTAACTACTCATTGTTAAACTTTTTGAGAAATGTGTCTTTGTTTTGAAAACTGAATTATGAGTTTGGGGAAAAAAGGTGGCAACTAAAATCAGCTATATTAACAATCGAGAAAACTGCAATACGACTAGATTCTTACCTAACTCTGCTATTAGTTTCCGTGATCGACATCTTATTGATTTCATGTTATTGTTACGGCTTAGCCTATATCCATGATGAAAGTGGAGCGAGCGGTCGGAGAATCGGATCACCAAACAATTATGGAATCCAGCTAAATAACATCCAGAATAAAACTTTTAACTTTTAATGTGAGCATAGCTTGAGCTTTTTAAAAGACCCAAAGCAAATTGTTCTGATATAGTGAAGAGATGCAGTGACAAATCCCAGCCGGGATGTCTAGTTGCGTGTGCCCATCTGTAACGACTGATTTCACGGGAAGTCGTTCAGTCGTTGTGACAGCACAGAAACAGGGCAGGAGAAGTCAGGCTTTCTGCCCTCTCCTTCCAATTTCCTCACTCTTGATGGGCAGCAATGTGACTCCTCTGGATAAATATCTACAGGTCTTTCGGCTGCTTGATGTGCAGGTTGGTAAATAATTCTACAAACACTTCAGTAGGCTGGTGAATTAGTGGTTAGAGGTGTGTTATGTTACCAAACCATTTCGTCCAAGGCATTCTGGGTAAGTGAGACATGCTCTTGAGCTGATCTTCATTCACTATGCTGCAAAAAACATAATTCTCACACACAGGAAAACTCCCTTTAGAATGTCTATGCTCCTGAACATTTCCATTAAGCATTCTTAAAGGTGAAGTGTTTCATTTTTTCCCCATACAAGTTTCACCTGCCCAGTTTAAAGGGAGAGTTCACCTAAAAATGAAAATTCTGTCATTAATTACTCACCCTCATGTCGTTCCAAACCCGTAAGACCTTTGTTCATCTTCAGAACACAAATTAAGACATTTTTGATGAAATCCGAGAGCTTTCTGACCCTGCATAGACAGCAACGCCACTGAAATGTTCCCAGACCCAGAAACATGGTAGGACATAGATAAAATAATCCAGGTGACATCAGTGGTTCAACTATAATTTTATGAAGCTACGAGAATACTTTTTGTGCGCTAAGAAAACAAAAAGAACACATTTATTCTACAATTTCTTCTCTTCCCTGTCAGTCTTCGACACACGTTCGCTATGGAGGGTCAGAAAGCTCTCAGATTTCATCAAAAATATCTCAATTTGTGTTTACGAAGATGAATGAAGATTTTACGGGTTTGGAATGACATGAGGGTGAGTAATTAATGACAGAATTTTCAGAATTTTTTGCGTGAACTATCCTTTTAAGATACTGATATGTAATATACCAAAGGAGTCCCTTTGAGGGTACTGAGGGCCTGTGACAAGCTGCTGTACCCCTAAAAGGTAAAATTTTTTTTTTTGCAGATTTGTCTCTGATAGTGAACATGCAAGTACTCCAAAAAGGCAGGGGGACATTAACTAAATTTCTGTGGCAGACCTAGGCAGACCTGTCAACGTCAGTGAAAAAAACAAAGTGACATTTATGGGCAGACATTCTCACGAGTCACGACAGCACAGCACACAGTGTACGATGGGATAGATTAGGTGCCTTACTCAATATTTGGATATATGGCTTGGGAACACAAAGAAAAATAGCTTGACATTTGCTCAAGCAAATCAGGCTATTTAGACGCTTGTGAGGGAGCCAGAAATCGAACTCGCTGATGTCTGTGAGCTCACAGACACGGAACAGCTGTTTAGAAGCCTGGACTGCCTACATTTTCATAATGCTGAGAAATGTCATGAGCCAAAATACAGCCATTGCACAGAAAATACCTAAACTCTAGGGACCAAAATATAATTCCATGTAATACAGAGGAAAATATGGTGAGGTTTTGTGTTTAAGGTTGCCGAGGTACACAAAATCTTTGATGATGAGGCCCCAAACAAACACACACACCCTACGGCATGTGTCCTTGAGCTGCGGCCCACCTCTCCCTCCTGCAGTGGACACATCCTCAATGGCTCTTGGCCTCCCAGGGAAGTCACTACAGTAGACTGCAGAGCATCCTACTGGACGTGACCTCGCTTCCTGTCATTAGCCGTCATCTCTCTGATCCTAAAGGTGATTGGCTCCTGTAAATGTCTACTGCTGAGGTACTTAAACTGAAATAGTGCTTTTGGAAAAAATGGATGGAAAAATAATGCTTGGTTTTGTTCTGCTAGACCCTTTGTTGTTTTGATGAATATTCATATTATAGATTAAGATTCATGATTCAACAAATTTAAATTGAGTAATTACTTTAAAGATAACGTGAAATAAAAAATTACTCAATTTATGTACTCAATAAATACCCCTGGCAGTGGTTATTGCTAACTAAAACTAAAATTATAAACTGAAAAAAGCTGAAATAAAATTAAATACTAATATTAAAAGAAAAAAGTGAAACTAAAAAAACTTTAGAACTAATATCAAAAGCTGAAAAAAACTAAAACTTAAACTAAAATTACAATGGAAACTAAAACTATAAAAATACAAGCTACTATAATAGTATATAAACAATACTACAGGGTTTAAGAAGGTTTTATGATGATAAATTTAAAACCTAGTTTAACAGAAATAATAATGACAATAATAATTGAATGGAACATAATATTTATGATAAACTTTGAGATAATTCAAAGGTTTTCATAACCCATATTTGTTACTGTTTTTTTTTTTTTTTGAATAACTCACTTTTTTTTATGTTTCAGAAAACAAGACTTAATATGTTCAATTTGTATCAAGTAAATGTATCTTGATGTTTAGATATTGGAAAACAAAATACAGAGTAAGATGTTTTTATTTTAATTTTTTTGCAGTGCATGCAACATTTAATGCCATGACTTTATGAATTTAGGACTTTCTGCTCAGATTTAAGACCTTTTTTAGACCTTAATTTGTGGAAGGTGAATTAAGACCCACAGAAACCCTATACTAAAATAATACAATAAAATTCCCTTATTGTGAATGTTTCATCACAAGTTATTGTAAAGAAAATTGTTATTTCACTTATTTAAATTTAAAACATGTCTATTTAACAAATAACCCTACATTTTATCCTGTCAAATTGATTTTGTTTCATATGGATATCCGTTACATTTCAGAAGTGAAATGTGTTGCGTGCACATGATTTCTTTATTTAAAAATGATTAAACAATTGATTTTATTCCCACTTATTCACAGGTAAGTGAAGGTGATACATGACTATAAACTTTTTCAAGTCTTAAAGGACATATTCTCGATTTTCAGTAATAACAGTGTCGAATGGCTGCAACTGTTGTGTTCGTATTTCCTCAGATGCAGTTCAGCGAGGTTGTTAAGTAAAGGTTAATGGAGCAGTTGGCTCGGAGACTGATTCACTCCTACACCACCCACCCACCCACAAACACACACACATACACACATACTCACACACACAGAGAGCTGAGAAAAGTCTTCAGCCAGTACAAAAAAAAGTCACATCCATTTCCTTTTCAAACTGAACACATCAGTCTTACAGCCAAAGAAACTAGAAAAGAGAATTAAAACACTGCATGCACTGTCTTGTTGTCTCTGCATGCATTATGTATGAAGGCAAACTTCCAGAAGAGTCTCTGAGGGCCCGTCTTTTATTCAGACCAGTGGTTTCTGTTCCCCCTCATTATCTTTCGGTCTAAATTAAGTTTTGCTGCGGCATGGTGCTTGACTCGGCCTTCTGTCATGCCCTACGGCTGCTCTGATGCGACTGGCCGGTCTGTGTCACCTCTGTGCTGTTTGGCGTAAGCAAGGCAGGTTTTTCTCGCACATGTGGCATCAGCACTTTAAGAGGATGCAGTTTCCAAGCAGCAAGCATCTCATGCGGTTACTTTATCACATGCTGTTAACCAGCAAGAACTGTTCATTTTTTCATAGTAAATGTACATCCTGTTTTATATATAGCAGTTTTTCTTCGAGACCAAGTAACTGTTCAAAGCCTTTTTGTACATCTGATTGATACAATCAATACGTAATGGACAGTTTACAGTCATTATTATGGGAAAAAAAACCTGATAAAGCCCACTTATTATATTCCAATCCTAATTAATTCATTAACATTTAAATGACAAATACATGGATATTAATTCTTGATTTTAATCTAATTATTTCATTTTTAATCCTCTAATTATCTAAGTACAAATTGTCCATGTCAAAAACAACTGGCCTAGCAACTAGACAAACACAGTGTCGTTGTTAACTAAAACAAAACAAAATAGTAGGAGATGAAAAAAGCAAAACTAATTTTGTTTTGAAAATTAGAAATGTTGCCTTGGGAGCTAACTGAAATGTGAAAAGTGATACAATTACTAAAACTGAAATAAAAATAAATGTAAGCTATATATAAATATAAAACAAAATAAATAAATTATAGAAAAAATGTATAGAAATAAAAATCTAAAATTATTTCTAAATATTAATAAATAATATAATAGTATACAAATAATACTAAACTAACACTGGACAAAGAATGCAACAATATTACAATAAACAAAATAATATATATATATTTTTTTTTAATTTCTTCTATGGACTAATTAGCTACTATAAGACATTTATCCACAACGTCACACGAAGACCATCGACCATGGATTGATATAAAATACATAGAAGCAGCACCAGCAAGTTAAAATGGTGAAATGAACAGTTTAGCAGCCATTATAAAAATATTTGACTCAAATGTGACAAACCGAACAGAATCAAATATGCTAGAGCGAAGTGTAACAAACCAAATCAGCATGCCAACACAATATGTTCGTATCACCAAGGCCACTGCTGAAATTTACAGGGATGGCGACAAAATTTGTATAAGTGGGCCCCTTCAACCCGGGCCTGGGACAATGATGGCCCTGCATTATATCAGTACAATGAGGTTATCAACTGTAGATTGGGTTTATAATCAGTAGTGAGTACATAGAGAGAAAAAAACTTCCGGGCAAGGCTGTTATAATAAAGCTCTTGATTGCTAGATGAGCTGCTATCAAAGGCACAAAGGCTGGCTGACACTTGGCCTTCACGAAAGACCACAACACGGCAGGAAGTCATCAGTAATTCATTATGAAAGCTGGACAAAGGGCTACACTGACTGCTGTGTCACTGAGCAAAACAGCTCCAGTCAGTATGTGAGGAGTCGAGGACTAAATTATTCAATGTAGATTCGGGGCGTGATGCACTTCCTGTTTGTCATGCAAAGCCACGGATAAGACAGGTAAAGCATCAACTGCTAATTATGATCTTTCTTGCATGATCATACCCTGCAATACAACTTGATCGTTCTTCATTAACAACATAATTGTTCAAGACTTTGTGTCCTCTATCATCAGAGCATCCATTCAGCGTTGTGATGCCTCAATAATGCTTTGTTAGTGAAATCAATCTTGTCTTGCCTTGTAAGTTTAATATCCAAGCTACATTAAAAAAAAGAGAAAATATTTTGTACAAAAACATTTTTGGGCATACAATATGACCAGATTGTGTGTGTGTGTGTGTTTACATGTTTCATGAGATTTACCTATAAAACTAATGATGTTTGTCTGCCCTGTCATATGTGGCACGTTTCACTCACCTGAACTTGTGTGGGAGCCATACAGGAACACACGGTCCTGGCGTGCTTCAAACACTTCTCATGTGACATGAAGTTACACACTGCAAGGAAAAAAGAGAGAGAGATTTAGTGTAGGCCACAGAATTATGGTGCATTATGCTGCCAAGATATGTAGGTATAGCAGCTTTAGCAAAAAGAAAATTTGCCATTCTTTCTCAGCAGTGTATATTAAGCCCAGTGTACCATGTTGTGATTTTCACAATTTAGAACTCACTTTATAAATAAATCAATCTTTAATAGCACCAAAAGGAATAGCAGGCAACCTGACTGGGCAATATTTAATGAACAGCACTTAAAAGAGAAAAATTTGCACCAAAGTCAAGAGCACTGATCAGTTGTCTCTATGGTCGGTAGGGATGGAACGATTACCGGTTTCACGATAAATCACGATAAAATACCCTGACGGTTAGTATTATCGTTAAAAATTTTATTATCATCAAAACCGTATTTGATTATTGCGATTTTGAAAACTTGCGGTAAATCCTGTCCAGCCAGCATCAGTCTGACGCAGAAGCAGCATGCAAAGTGATTTATTATTATTATTATTATTATTAGGGCTTCATGTTAATGTTAATTTAATGTTTATGCTAAAAAAAGTGCATATAGCTGCTAATTGTATTTGTTGTTTGTTGATTTTCAAATATAAAACTTATTGAAATGTTTTCAGTGTGAATCAGTTCTTTTTGAACATTTTCATCTAATTTTAACAAAACCGTGATAATATTGATAATATTGATAATCGTGATAACTTTGGTCACTATAATGGTGATATGAAATTTTCATACCGTTACATCCCTAATGGTGGGTGACCGCTGGATCGCTGTGTGCCCTATTTACGCTGCTGTCAGAGCCCACTTTGGCCCTCAGTACAGACTGAACCTCACTGATGCATTTGTTGGTTTTCATGCTTGCCAGAGACAGGAAGTGATCTTGCTGGTCAGGCTGAGCTCCTCTCACTATCAAAACCACAAGAGCAAGGAAAACATCTGAAAGTTTACCGTACCAAAGACGTGTTCTCACGCAAACTGTAAAGCCCACCACCCTAGAGAAACCGGAAACAGTTAGAAATTACATCACAAAGACTGTTTTGTTTACACATTCATTATCAACACAAGCCTTTGGCATATAAACCCATTAAACTGTTTTAGCAACTTTTTTTTTTTTAAGTCTAACAT